TTTGACTACACGGAGTCACCGGAGCTATCACATGATCAAGACCCAAGATTCACTTCAAATTTTTGGAGGAGTCTTCAAATTAACGTTAGTGATCATATGTTCCTTAACGTATCACCATTGGTGTATCACAATTTGAAAATAAAGACAAGTTGCGTACAATTGGCCTTTTGAAATTCTCAAGAAAATTGCTGACTTTTCTACCAATTAGCATTACCGCCAAGAATTTCCAATGTCTTCCACTTGTCCATCTTGAGGAAGTATGAACTAGATCTTACACATGTACTGGATTGCAGACGATCGAGATAGACGAGAGAGTAACTTATATAAACAAGCTAGGATAAATCTTGGATTGTAGGGAACAAATTTTAAGAAACAAGACTATGCATTTAATCTAGAATATTATCACAATCTGAAAGAAGTGACATGGAAAAGCAAAGATGAGATTAGACGCAATTATCCGTATTGTTTGAATAATCAAGCAAATCCAAATTTCAAGTATAAAGTTTCTTTCAAGGGGGAATAGTTGTGACCTTCAGAATATTTTGTATTAGTTGATAGTACTTAGGATATAAGATAATAAATTCTCACTTGAATTTTGATTGACATTTGTGAAATTTCAATTAGGTTACTGAATTTGTGATGTTTAGAAAATTAGAAAATTACTTTACGTGTCCGTGGTCTTTGAAAGTAAAATTTCATTGAGGATTACAAAAAGTATGATATATCATAGTTCAAGGAATAAGAGTTTACTGATTATCAAAAAAAAAAAGGAATAAGAGTTTACTCATTTTAATATGCTTAATGAATATTTATATATAAGTTCATTATAGAGAGTGAAGGTGAAAAACATATTGTCAGCACAGACCAATATGCCCCGAAATATGTATCGAAGAATTATCAAACTGAAAATTTACCGAGTTAAGATTTTCCTCGCGTTCTATAGCTTTTGCTAATAATTAGCAAATATCATCAAGGAACTTTTCAAATAGCTTAGTCTTTACTCAAGAAAAGACATTTGTCACATGGTTATCTCCTGCTCTTCGTAATTTTTATCATGGAACTTAACGACTAGATAACATCATTCATGACATGTCTTTTAATCATGGTTTAATTGTTCTTTAAAAGAGAAAATGAGAAAAGAAAATAAAAACAAATCACCCTCATTTGCTCCATTTGGCCGAACCAACTCATCTTCACAATTTCAACTTCAATTTTTTTTTATCATCCAATCTTTTGCAACAAAAGAAAAGTTCCAATTCAAATTCCAATCAAGTTCCAAAATCTCTCCAATTTGAGTTGTATAAACTGTTAATCTCGTCTATCAAGGGTCTTACGGAGTAAAAAATCATGGTCTTCATTTTGCTTTCTTTATCTAACTGGGTTTTGTTTCAAAAGATATAGATAACTGTCAATTTTATGATTTGTTTGTTTTGCATTCAAGGTGATTAACGTTCAAGGTCCTTCTCAAAATAAGTGAAAACTCTAGGTACTGAGTTAAATTGATCTACTTGGCATTCTTGAATTTGGTTGGTTGATGTTTGCTCATTTAGTCTGAGATTTGATGTTACGTTTAGACTTCAAGATTGTCATGTTTTACATATTGTTATATTAAGCTATTGTGATCTCTTGGTCGATTTTCAAAAGTTTTCTACATGCCTAGAATATGTTTAAATGATTACCAAAAAGATTTTGTTGCAACTTGGATTAGAAAAATGTGAAATTGGTATGCATTTTAGTAATTTTGACATGTTTAGGTACACTTTTGTAAAAATTTGTAGAATGAGAGGGCCCTTTAACAGTGCTGTATAATGGTTGAAAGTGTTAAACGGTGGATTATCAAGTTATAATCAACAATAAAGAAATCAACCATTTAGAAATAACTACTTTAAAAACTTTAGTGGCAAATTTGTAATTCTACAAAACTAGTTGACTAGTATTCTAAAACCGAAAATTCTAGGGGTTGATTACATTACATAATCAGAAAACTTATGATGATTAAGAGTGAGCAACGGTCTAGGGTCAACCTTGGACTAGCCCTGGACTAGCCCAACCCGATCGGTTCTGACCCGGTTCCCAAGGGGATTGAGTCGGTCCTTGGTCTTGGGACCCTTGGAACTTGTACTATGCAGGTTGATCCTCGATCCAGGGGCTTTAGGGTTGGTCCAAACCAACCCTGCATATATATATAAATATATTTATTTATTTTCCAAATAACCCTAGGCCCGTCCCTCCTCTTCTTCTGGTATTGAAAATAGAAACCCCGGGACCCTTGTGACATTTGTTTATTAATGTTGAAGAGTGCATAAAAAGTTTGAATTGGGTAAGTTTAAGTCATTCATCTTTTTTTTTTTAACTTTTTAAGTCATTTGTATATCTAATGAACGATTTATTTTTTTTAGAGATGGATTGTCTTACCGAAGAGATTATCATCGTTAAGCAGAGTTTCACGTTGAAGTTGAATGAATATAAGTGATGAGATGTTCTAACATTTGCACTAATAGTATTTTCAATTGAAAACTATTGTAAGGATTAACTATGTTGTTTGTTTTATTTTCAGGTGTTCAGAAGTTGAAGCAATCATTTGAGAATGAACAAGATATGAAGTTGTATAACTCATGGTTTATGTTATGTATTTTGACCATTTTATTTTTTAATTTTATTTTAGGTGTTAGTCTACTGGCAAGTGGAGATTTTTGTTATTGCTTTATCTTAGATTTCTGTTTGATTTGTATCAGTGTTCATAGTTTGATTGCTCAATATCGCACTGTCGATAGATATATATTTTCATAGTGTACCGTTGTCCTTTCAAGGAATAAAAAAAATGAAACAAAAAAAGAATTGGCTGGTCCCGAGTTAACCCTGGAATCGGACCAAACCCATAAAATCTGTTCAGTCCTCGGTCCCAAGCTCAATAGGGTCAATCCTCGGTCTCAAAAATTGCGAACCAACACTGTGTAGGTTGATCCCAAGGTTAGGTGCTAGATCAGCCCAATCCGAACCATGCTCACCCCTAGATAGGTAACTAAGTTATTTTTAGAGTTAACCGCTTAATCCAGACAATTTATCTAATTAATCAAAGTTTGAACTTAAATTAATTTAAAAGTGGTAACTTTATAAAATTTGTGGCATGTCTATAGTGTAAATAAGATATTCATGTGTCTTAGATAGTAAATGAATGGCCTTGGGTAATTAAATTTCATTAGTATAGCTTGATTAAGAGAGATTGGGTGTTAAGGTAATAACATAAAATGAGAAACTTTATTAGGGCAATCATATAATCTATAAATCTCGAATTATAGAAAATTAATTTTAATTTTAATGATTAAGCTGAACTTAATCACGACGCAATTTTAGTAGTTAAATTATGTGAGTTGACTAAAGTTAAGGTCTAACTTAGTAATCACGTAATCATTTAATTTGAAAATAGAAATCAAGTGGCTTGATATAGGGATGAGCACGGTTCCAGGTTCTACCCAGGAACCTGAGAACCTGACAAATGGGAACTTATAAGTTCGAGGTTCCAAGGTATGCAGGGTAGCTTTTAGGTTTTAAAAATTCGAGAACCTATTTCGACAAGTAGGCTCCAAGTTCTAGGTAAGTGAAACTTGGAACCTTGAACCTGAACCTGTCTTCTCGTGATCCTGCGGTGTTTTATGGCATTAGATGATGAGTGTATGATCTGAAACCACTAGTATCAGCTTTCATTTTATGACATGTTAATGTTTAATATTTTTCGTGTGTCTAAATATAAGTTGTGGTTAGTGGATTATAGCAGTAAATGGTGGTTATTAAAGGTGATGATTTACTGCAATTGTTCAATTAATAATACGGGTGGAACTTGAGTATACTCTAAAACCGGCCCTCGAACCTGTGATAGGGTAGGTTCCAAGTTCCAAAAAATGAGGAACTTATTATCATTGGTGAAATATATACAGAACATGAAACTGCTCACCCCTAGTATCGATCACCCCTAGTATCGATTCACGCAATGACTTCTCATTTTAGTTATATTTATTTGAACCGTAATACCAGGAAAACTAGTCTTTTGTATTCTCTTTGATGAATGACAAACTTGTTCAGTATTGTTGCATTCATTTTTGTTTTGTTTTGTTTAACTAAAAATGCAATTAAAAAAAAAAGAACCCGTTAGACCCCGGAACCTACCCGTCATCAGGTTTTAAGTTCCGACGGGTAGGTTCTAGGTTCCAAAAAATGGGGAACCTGTACTCGAGAGTAGGTTCCAGGTTCCATGTGGAACCTGCAATGAACCTGAAATCACTCACCCCTAGCTTGATATGCATACATTAATCTTATGGCTTCAAAATGAGGCATCCGGTTATCAATTTAGTGAAATACTTTGACGATCCTTTTAGGTAAATTCTAAATACTAAGTTATCTAAATTTATAGAAGAATTGATTATGTAAGGTCAAATTCGTCTAAATAATATATGAATTTACATAAGTTTTCTATCAAATGATGATTGCACGGTGAATGAAGGTTTGTATGTTGAAAAAGACGAAATGATTTCGTTGCCACCATTTTCACGAAAAATGTCAAGAGATTAATGCGCTATTATTTACAATTGTGGCTATTGAAATTAAAAAAGTATCGTTTTCAGAGACTAATTGACTTTAGAATCTCATATCAGATTTATAATGCTACCATATAGATCAAATTGTTATCTTTTATTCATTGACTTCTACCATAATTATAGGTGGCAATATCTCTATTTATACTAGATGAAAAGTGCGCTTCATTGACTCAATTCTTTGTTGTCTTTATGGTATTCTAGGCCCCTTTTGTCTTAAAAAGACCCGAAGTGCTCAAGCTTTTAAACTTTCTAACATGGTATTGGTGTTATCTTCATGCTGATCTGTAGAAGATTATCCACCGTAAACATTCTGATTTTTTACTCTTTTTGATTTTTTTACTTCACTATTCTCTTTTCTTTACGAGACAGAAACACAGAGCAAGTCTTGGAGAAGATACAACAGAAGTCATGAATCACAATAAAGATCTTCCTCATCAAAACAAGCTGAAGCTAAAGCCAAAGCCGAAGGCTGTGATCGTAGGAGGGAGCATAGCAGGAGTGTCATGCGCGCACGCGCTCATCCTGGCCGGGTGGGACATCGTGGTCATAGAGAAATCGCGCAAGCCTCCGAAAGGAAGCCCCGCTGGTGCAGGACTCGCGTTGGATCTGCTTTCTCAGGAGCTCATTGGGGCCTGGACTGGACGCCCTGAACTCCTCCATGAAATCACCTCCCCTCTCACCATTGATCTTGTAAGGAAACTTCATACGATAAGCTCAGTCCATTTCAAGCCTTCCTAAGGTCTGAGTTATAATATGTTTTGAAGTTGAGATCACCACTGCTAGAGAATTGGCGCAGAATATATCCTTTTTCTTGCACCGTGATTGCTAAGTTCTTGCTTTGCTTGACACTGAGAGGAGAAGTTAAGTTCTTCAATGAGATATGGTTCCTTTCTTTTCTTTTACTGACATATAGACATTGATCTTGTCTGTTATGTGGCACTGAAAATTGTATCCTGGTTCTTACCAAATTTTGCCATGCGTGTGTTTGCACCAGAACCAAGCAATCAATGATGAGAAAACCAGGAAGACACTAGCAAGAGAGGAGAATTTCAATCATAGAGCAGCACATTGGGCTAATCTGCATGACCACCTGTTCTCTGCATTGCCACCAGAAATATTCCTATGGGGCCATCTTTTCCTCTCTTTCTCTGTTTCCAATGATAAGCAATCGGTCAAAATCAAGGCTCAAGTTCTCGACACCAAAGAGACTGCTGAAATAGAAGGAGATTTGCTTGTTGCGGCGGATGGATGCGCCTCTCCGATTCGCAATCACTATTTTCCCGACGTCAAACTAAGGTTGCTACTTCTCAGTCCAAATTGCTATGCATCGATCCCTGAGTTAGACATTTTTGTTATCTTTCATGATTATGTTGATATGATAGGTATTCGGGCTACTGTGCTTGGAGAGGGGTTTTTGATTTTTCGGGGATTGAAGATTCTAAAACTATCAAGAACGTGAGGGAGGCACATCCGGAGCTCGGGAAATGCTTGTACTTCGACTTGGCACCCGGACATCATAACATTCTTTTCGAGATCCCAAACAAAAGGCTGAACTGGATATGGTTTTTAAATCAACCTGAACCTCGCTTGAAGGTAATATTTGCCCATCTTGCTCCTCCTCACTGTACGATAGTAATAGCAGTCGCGGATGTAGTTAAAGACAAATGATCATGCCAGACATTGTCCAATAATTTTCCTGTTTATTCACAAGATTAAATGGCGGAAATACATGAGCATATCTCATCAAAGATCTGGGTCTAAATATATCCTGAGTTCATTAAAACATAGATCATAGGAATCATCATATATTAATATGTTTATAAATATATATATATATATATATATATATATATATATATATATATCCCTTATGTCTTGCGCTATCTCATATTTTGTCGGTCATTGACAAATACAGGGGAATTCAGTTACTATGAAAGTAAGTGATGGTATGATTCAGAAGATGTACCAAGATGCAGAGAAAATTTGGCATCCGACGTTGATTCAGGTCATGAGAGAAACTAAAGAACCTTTCGTCAATGCCATTTACGACTGTGATCCCCTAGAACAAATTGTCTGGGACAACGTGGTACTTGTCGGCGACGCGGCACACCCCACAACACCACACTGCGCGAGAAGCACAAACATGTCTATTCTGGACGCTGCGGTCCTAGGCCGGTGCTTGGAGAAGTGGGGGTCGGAAAATCTAATAGCTGCTCTCAAGGAATACCAATCCATTAGGCTACCTGTAGCATCCAAGCAAGTCTTGCATGCCCGGCAAGTCGGGAGGATAAAACAAGGCCTTACGCTTCCTGACTGTAGACCTTTCAATCCTAACACAGCCAATTGGGAGGAATGTGAGATGCTTCAGCTGAGAAGCGTGCCCTTCTTCGGACATAACCCTTTGCTTGGATAGAGCTGATGAAGCGACTTTTTATCGCCGGCAAATGCTGATCATCTCGTGTTTGCTGCCATTCTGGGCATGTCGATGTGGATTTCAGACATGTCACAAATTATTGTAAGCTCTAGCTGGATAGAGCAAGAGATGCATCTTCTTAAGTATATGACTTAATCCAGGATCATTACCGTTGGTGACATTCACCTTAGGTTTGTGTTAAGTGGGTTAAAGACCACTTCATCTACTGAAGCACTTGGATTAGGCCAACTGATGTTATGTAGTGTACCCGTGTCTTGTTACAGTGGCGATAGTCCTCGCAACAGCAGCACAAAACTTGTTACTCACCTGCACAAATTAGTCAACCTAATCTATGAATAAGAGAACATTCCTGATCCATCAGTGTGTGCCAAAGCTAGCCATGCGTGCATTCACATATCAAGAAATAGGAACGCCAGTGATTACTTATCGAAAAGAAAACGAAAGTTTTTAACTTGGTATCTTTTGATACCCAGAAAAGAATGACCCATAATCCGTACTGCGACCAAAACATTACTCTAATTACAATCCAGCAACTACAGCAAGCATGTCAATCGTCGTTCTACATGACTAACGTAATGCCGACGACAAATCACATTGCTCTCCCATGATGGGTATCACAAACAATTTCTGGGTTTGAATTTTGAAGGGTTAATACCACAAAAAACCCTAAACTGGTACACTTGTGACACATTTACCCCAAACTATTTTTTTGACCATAAAAAACCCCAAACTGGTACACCTGTGACAATTTTACCCTGAACTATTTTTTTGACCACCAAAAACCCCAAACTGGTACACCTGTGACAATTTTACCCTGAATTAAAATTTTAATATTATTTTTTATTTTTTTCGAATTTTTATTTATTTTTTATTCTTTTCTTTTCTTTTTTTTTTCATCTTCAAACTCTGGCCGGTCGCCGGTCCGGCGACCGGCCAGAGGCGGAAGCCGGCGAGGGCCGCCCTCGTCGGTGTCGGGTGAGGGCCGCCCTCGCCGATGTCGGGCGAGGGCTGTCCTCGCCGGCGTCGGGCGAGGTCTGCCCTCGCCGGATCTGGCGAGGGCGACCCTCGCCAGACGCAGGCGAGGGTCGCCCTCGTCGGCTTCCGCCTCTGGCAGGTCGCCGGACCGGCGACCGGCCAGAGGTTGCAGGTGAAGGAAAAAAAAAAGAAAAGAAAAGAAAAGAAAAAAGAAAAAATTCAAAAATTAAAAAATAAAAAATAATATTAAAAATTAGTTCGGGGTAAAATTGTTACATGTGTACCAGTTTAGGGTTTTTTGTGGTATATTTGGGGTAAAATTGTCACAGGTGTACCAGTTTGGAGTTTTTTATTGTCAAAAAAATAATTTTGGGTAAATGTGTAACAAGTGTACCAGTTTAGGGTTTTTCGTGCTATTAACCCAATTTTGAAATTATCTTGACTAGTTTTGGCAGATGTCATCATGGCCATATTATATGGCTACTGCATAAAATATCTGACCATCGCTGTCATGCTATGGCTTTCCATCATCCAGCGCCAAACCGCCCACATGTTCCGACCGAACATCAGGAACAAAAACACGAAAGCCAGAAGCCTTCATGAGACATTCATGTTCGCAGATTCCCAATGGAGGGCCAGGACGAAGAAGCCAAGAAACCCACGAAGCCCAAGGCCAAGGCGGTGATAGTGGGAGGGAGCATCGCGGGATTGTCCTGCGCGCACGCGCTCATTTCGGCCGGATGGGACGTCACCGTCGTCGAGAGATCGAGCGCGCCGCCGGCCGGGAGCCCCACCGGCGCGGGGCTCGGGCTCGAACCGTCGGCACGGGAGCAGATCGACGCCTGGCTTGGGAGGGGCCGGCAACTCCACGATGCCACTTTGCCTCTCTCTGTTGATCAGGTCACGCTCTGTTTGTCCGTCTTCTGAGTTCACGAGGACGTAAAAGGACGAGTTTTTTTCGAGTTGGGTTGTCGTTTGTTGTTTGGTTCAGACATGAAGAATAAACGGATGCTTTTATGGCTGCGAAAATGATTAGATTCAGCTTCAAAGCTTGTAGCTTTAGCTCGTAATCTAGCTATAAGTGAATGCGTGGATTTCAACTGATACAGAAGCCATAAAGGCTCGAAGTGTGGTTTTCTTAGGATGGAAATTGAACAGAAAAGTTGAAATGGATTTCTGTTTGGTTCATCCAAGAAAGGAATTTGTGGGAAATCTGGTGATAAGGTTCAATTTATTGTATTGACATTTGGAAAAACAACTGTTCGTGTATGATTCAGTTCCCATCTTTCTGCTGTAGCCAACAGAAGTGGAAAAGAGCAAACAAAAAACGTGCATGAAGATGTGAAATTTCACGGATTGTTTCTGTAAAATAACATGAGGATCATATCCTGTCTTTGTGAAAAAAGTGAAACCCGACAACCCAATCAATCGTTTCACCGTCTCAGTATGGTTTCAAGTGTTAGTTACACCAAATTAGACCGAGTTCACCTCTGAATGAGTTCGAGTACATGAGTTCATTCTATCCAATTCCTGCTAATTTCTTTGGAAAAACACTGCAGAACAATGCGACGGACAGTGCGAAGAAGGTGAGCCGGATGCTCACAAGAGATGAGGAATTCAATTTCAGAGCAGCGCACTGGACTGACCTCCATTGCCTTCTTCGTGAGGAATTACCACCGAATGTTGTGTTATATGGTCATGTCTTCCTGTCATTCAGCCTATCTGATGACAAGACTGAAGTCAAAATCAAAACTAAAGTACTCAAGACCAATGACACCGTCGAGATAAAGGGTAACTTGCTCATCGCAGCAGATGGCTGTCTGTCTTCCATTCGCCAGAGTTTCCTTCCCGACCTTAAACTGAGGTTATTTCTGAAACCAATAAATTTAGAACCTCATGCCATTGTTTGTCACAATAGACTTGCATGTGAGCTAGTTGTGTGAGATGATAGCTGACTGTTTTTGTAGGTATTCAGGTTATTGTGCATGGAGGGGAATTCTTGATTTTTCAGGAAGAGACAATTCAGAAGCCATTTTAGGGATCAAGAGAGCTTACCCTGATCTTGGGAAGTGTCTGTACTTTGACCTGGGCTCTGGGACTCATAGCGTGTTTTATGAACTACTGAACAAAAGGCTTAATTGGATTTGGTACATCAATCAGCCTGAGCCTGAACTGAAGGTAATCTTTAATTAGGAAAAGCAAGAACACGTGCCGAAATGTTATCTTCTCTGCAATTTCCTGTCAAGTGAAGTAAATTCTAGATGCCAAACTTCCTTGAACATCGTAAATTGAAACGAGTGGTTATCTGCAGACTCTTTGAGTCTTGATAACTATAGGCGGTCCTAATTTGGAAGACTTAGTTTCCTCACAGGATTACTTATCTTCATTGCTGCTCTTGCTCTATCCACTTTGGCCTTTTTTATATCACAAATGTGTTAAGCTTCTGCGAAGAATTATACAGCTACTATCTCCTCAGACCACAATATTCTAATTTAAGGATATTTTAGGACATTAAACTCTTTAGTAGAAAGAACCACGTTGTGCTTAAAAAAGATGCATCAGGAAGCATAATGTTCGACCAATTGTAAAGTTCTTTACCATATATTTTAGTGTAGCAAAACCAACAAGGAACAACAGATAGTATCATCTTTCTGAAATTTCATACAGGGAAACTCTGTCACCATGAAAGTCAGCGGCGAGATGATCCAGAAGATGCACAGAGAAGCAGAGAAAGTTTGGCTTCCTGAGTTGGCTAGAATAATGAAAGAAACAAAAGAACCTTTCATAAACGTCATATACGACTGCGATCCTTTAGAGCAGATCTTCTGGGACAATGTGGTATTGGTCGGAGATGCCGCTCACCCGACGACTCCTCACGGTTTGAGAAGCACTAACATGTCTATATTGGATGCTGCGGTTCTTGGTTTGTGCCTCAAGTTATGGGGAGTTGAGAATCTGCATTCAGCTCTTTGCGAATATCAGTCTCTACGGCTTCCAGTTACTTCGAAGCAAGTCCTACATTCACGGCAACTGGGCCGCATCAAACAAGGTTTGTCTGTTGCTGGCTGGGAACAGTTTGATCCTATGACGTCAAGTCATGAAGAGTGGCAAGAGCTTCAGCAGAAGAAAATGCCCTTCTTTAATGAAGTTCCCCTACCAGAGAGCTCTTCAATTTGATGGCTTAATTGAAGATCAAGGAACATGTTGCTCCTGGATTCCAGTCCAAATGAATATTATGTGGTGCTAATTGTAAATTGCGGGGCTGTATACACATCACTTATTGGTTTAGAAACTCAATTAGCTTGTTAAGAATAAGATAGCTACATTTCGCATAACCGCACTCTGCTTCATGAAGGTTAATGCCCAAAGTTTTCCCTATTCATGCAAATCAGACAAGAAAAGACCATCCTCATTTTCACTGATCCAGAATCATATCAATGGAAGCTGCCAACATGGAAAACTTCCAAAGCAGTTGTCCAACCGCGAAGTTCTGTCCAAAATAATGAACTAAACAAGGCATATCAGTCGAGAGCCATGGACATGCATACCATCCGGTGTCCTTGTGTTCGAATGTATATGGAAGGCACTCAAATTTCTTAGTGTCCCCACCTCCTGGTCATGTAAGTTCGCATCCATATGGAAGAGGAAACTAATTGCGGTATAGACATCAAACAGCTCCAAGTTCTACTCATTCTTCTTCTTTACAATTGGCTTGTTAGAAAGCCCAACAACCTGCTTGTCAGATAAATTTATAGTAATGACTACATCTGCATCGACAAAACACATGCACCATCTTTATGTACGGGCCTAAAGATATCCTCTAATTCATGTCTGTATTGGCCAAAGTAGATGCCAGTTACAGTAAGGCTCTCAAATTCGGTGCCTTGCTGAAATGCTCGTAAAGCTCAGAAAAAGGCTCAAAACTGATGTGCTCAGAAGCATTCTCAAGAAATACATGGCATTACGGGCACCCATCTTTCCATTTATAGTAGCAAATAGTCACATGTAAAGTAAAAACTCTCTAATTACTAGTGATCCAGCTTTACTCTATTCCCTCATAATTAATGCAATAAGAGACTGAACAGAATCAACACACACCGGTTTACAACTCTACAAATGAACCAGAACAAGACTCAGAATACAGAGTTCAGCGGAAGCATGGAACTACATCTCCATTCTCGTTAATTGAGCTCCTCAAGACCAACAATTTACACGGTTTTTGAAGGCCATGTAGCTTGGGCTGACATTATTATTCCCACAATCACCCCAAATAACCCGAGCGCACTACCAAAGATCTCAATCACTAGGATCTTGACAAAAAGTGAAGAGTTCTGGGCGTCTGACAGAGCGCAGCTGCTTCCAATTATTCCCACGCAAACCCTATCACCAGGAACATGTGGCAACGATCATGAATCAGAGATACATCAGCTTAAAGAAAAAAGAGGTCTCTCCTAGAGAAATCCATTCTAATGCATAAGAATATAGGGTTGAGAGATGAACCCGCAGACAAGGTTTGCAAAGCCCACTATAATCCCAGAAGCAAAGATAGCATATCCAGCTCTAAGAGACTCCGGATCATAAATCTGAGACGATGGGACACTTTCTAACTTTGTTTGCAGAATAATTGCCACGATGACACCATAAATAGCAACAGCTTCACAAAAGATTACGCTGCAATAACAGAGAAGGTGCACCACATCGTATCAAAAGGCATGAGATAGCAAAAGAATCGACTTTTATATGCCCCAAATGCTGCACTAGAGAGAGAGAGAGAGAGAGAGAGAGAGAGAGAGAGAGAGAGAGAGAATATGACTTTTCGAATATAATTAAAATCCTCAAACAATTGTAATATATTCATAAGAAAACATTATAAGGATTAGCACAAACGCAACCAGTCTAGTACAAAACAGGACTTGTCAGAAAGAAGACAGCATTGCATGCCAAGATGCAAGATGAAGCAAGTTTAGTTACAATTTCTGCTATGTGAAAGCTGCAGGTAGACACCAAAGAAAGGAACTAACAAGGCGAATGAAAAATTGATTCGACATTTCAGCATGTTTTCTACATCATACAATGGCTGAGAATTATACATCACTTTATCTAGAGATACAGATCACGAGAAATAAAGAAAAACGTAAGAGATGTGTGTGGAAACTTTAAGTAAATAATCCAAGTTGTCAAACCATTCTAATATATGATTTAGACAGAATTAGTGGCACAAAAAGGAGTTAGGAGATTATAAGATAAACCACACCTCCACATAGCTACTTAACTTTTTAGGCAAACTGATAGTGGTGCCACGTAAAACTGTATCATATGAGTGCAAGAGATCCTATATTCACATCTCAAAGTCCCTTATCTGTGTTGATCTGGATTTAAGCCAAATGCCAGGATGTGTGTGAAAACTACACTTCCATCTACTAGCTTAAACTTTTAGATCGACTGACGTGATCCCAAAACACCTAGAAGGGTAATCTTGCAGCAAACATCAGTTCGTGAGGAACTTGTCTTGTATACAACAAGAAAGCAAGATCCCCCACGAAGTGGGCTCAGCTAGTTCAGACCTTTATGTAAGATTCATGACTGATCAACTCGACAGAATAAGTATGTGATATGATCTAAGTAGTAAGAGGACAGAATTGAAAGACACTTGAGAGTAGAGCATGGCAAATATTTACCATCGACTAAAAATGAGAAGAAAAGGAGTAATCAGTTTCGTCCGCACTACTAAAATGCAACTTAAGCGAGAAACACCAAATTCTACGACATACATGATCAACTTACACCCAGAGTTGTAAACAACAACTGTTCAATGTGACGTAAATTCTCACCCCAGGTTCATCCTTCAAAGAAAAAACCCAGCCAAGCACTCGAATTTTCATCAAGAAAGCTCTTTCTACCCACAAAGACAGCAACTTTAAACCAATTCGAGGTCCGGAGTTGATTACACTTCTTCTTCTACAGTGTTGCCTCAAGTATTCAAGTAAGAAAACTAATAAAAGATTTATTCTTTCTAGTTAGTTGCTATAGCAAAAGGGAACACAATGGCAGCAATTAGCATAGTGTTAAAGATCCAATTTGCTACCACAACCACATCCCATCTCCGTTCTCGACACCAGTTTCAAGATAAGGGGGTAAGAGAGAAAAAGCAACTGTATCAGCCAATTAAGCAACGTAATTAGGGTCAAGTACCTGATAAGATTCTTCGAAGTGATCCTCGGAGCCTTGATTGCAGCACCAATCAAGCTGCTTCCGGTTATATAAATCCCCCTAACGAGATCAGGAAGAAAGAACAACGAAACCACACGATCACTCGCGAGTAGAATGTGACCAGAAATATCGAGCGCACAAAACCCATCGCAACCACGGACACAATCGCACGAGATCGAACGCGATCGCGGAGCCCCGCGCACGATATAGATGGACATCGGGAAGCCTTACCAGGCGGCGCCGAGGACGGAGACGCCGATGGCGATGGCGATCCCGATGGCGGCGAAGGTGTAGGGCGAGATCTTGACCAGCGCGTGCGACCACGTGCCGGCGCCTCCCACCATTGCCGAGCTCGACATCTTCTCTGCGTGTCGCGGGCTGCGTCGGCGGATCCGATCGAGCTGCTTCCTCTTGTCGAATTCCGATCGATTCGGCGGTGGGATCTCTTCGCTCCGATTCCCGGTGGCGATGGTGGTGGGGGTGGTGGTGGTTTCCGCAGTTGCTTCTGATCTCCGATCGATGAAGAAGAAGAAAACGAAACGATATTTTTTGTGGCCCAAAAGAAAATCAATGAAAAACTCAACAACAAAAAAAAACTAGGGCCCAATAGGCCGAATAGGTTTTAATTTTTAATGTTTTATTTTCTATTTTTATTATAATATCTCTCTTCAATTATAATTAATTTCCACATTTATTTCGGTTTGGGTTATAAATAGTTCATGAATTTTGGGTAAATATGCAACATGGTTCCTGAACTTTTGGTACATGTTCAGTGCAGTCCCTGAATTATATGAAAATGTTCAATATCGTTCTTCAATTAATTCAAGATTGGGGACAAGTTATAATTCAAAGACTATATTGAACAAATTGAAAGTTCAAAGACCATATTGATCACATTGCATATTGGACCAAGGTTCAAGGACCATTTGTGTCGGTTTTTCACTTTTCTTCTTTAAATAAAAGGAAAGGATATGTTCACTAAGAATTCCAAAACTTATCACGAAACTGTAATCAAGTCTTCGAATCTTAAAGTTAACACCGTCAAACTAACTAACTGAAAATGCTGACGTGACTTATTTTGATATTTTCTCTCTCCTACGTGGCAATGACGTGGCTAAAGTATAAAACATAACACTAAAACGACGTCGTTTTTGCCAAATTTGATTTTTAATATTAATTTTATTTAAATTAAATTTAAAAAATAAGCTTTAAAAGAAAGGAAGAGGAGGACAGGCGGGGAGGGCTACAAGCCCTCGCCGCCGCCGCCCCGGGATAGGGAAAAATAATAAAAAAACCACTTCAGCATTTTTCGTTTGCCAAATTGGACGGTGTTAATTTTAAGACTCAATTAAAGCAATTTGATAAGTTTTAGAACTTGATTGCACTTTTTGCAAGTTTTGAAATTCAATTGCACCTTTGTGATAAGTTTTAGGACTTCTAACGTACATATCCCTTAAAAAAAAAAAAAAAGATCTTCATAAAATACATGCCAGAAGCGCAAACATCATGAAATTTTCATTCTTGCAACAAACTAAAGAAGGTAGTTTTTTCCGGTAACCATGAGACATTGTCCACACTATAAACACCAACCAAAACCTCGGACTCTCAATCACAAAAACACATTTGCATACCTCCCAAGCTGATCCTCTTTCGACAAATTGATTCGTCGATGGCCGAGATCCTGTACACGTGCAAGCGCACCGTGGTGAGCACGAAGCCGGTGCAACCGGGGAAGCGCTTTCCCTTGTCAGTCCTCGACCGCCTGATGGAGCCGAAGCACCTGAGGGTCGTGTACTACTACCGGTCAGACGGCCCGGGCAGGGAAGCCGGGGAATGGACCAGGATGCTGAGGGAGAGCCTCGCGAGGACGCTCACGAGCTTTCCCAAAGCGACCGGACGCCTGCAGAGGGACGGCGAAGGGCGCTGGGAGATCGAGTGCAACGATGCGGGAGTGAGGGCGGTGGAGGCTCGAGCCAGAGGAAGCGTCGAGGATTGGTTGCGGAACGCGGGGAGGGAGGACGAGTTGAGGCTCGTCCACTGGGAGGAGATGTTTCAGACTCCATATTTTTGGTCCACCTTCTATGTTCAGGTTCAGCTGATATTAACAGTGAATACCGATTTTTTCTTCTGATGCTGGTTGGTCATTTTTTCACGAGACTGAGCATATCTTTTGACGAGATTACTTTCTCCATTTTGATTGATTTGCAGGTGACTGAATTTGAAGGAGGAGGGTTTGCTATTGGGTTGAGCTGCATCCATCTCTTGGCTGATCCAATCTGTGCCACCATGTTCATCAAGGCTTGGGCAGACATGACTCTCAATGCCCAATTGACTGCTCCTCCGTCGTTCCGCCCGCTCCCGAAACGACAACCAAGCCGCCGAAACGATCCCGACCACAGCAACTCATTGATCAACCATTACAAGACCTCCATCAACACCTCAAGCCCCAATCCCGGTGCAAAGTTCACCACCCTCTCTCTTGCATTCAGCGAGCCCGTAGTCCGATCATGCGTCGCCATGGCCCGGCCCGTGGACGTTGCTGATGGGCCAGGCCTGTCGCCGTTCGAGGCGCTGGCCGGGCTCTTTTGGGCCTGCATAAGCAAGGTGAAGGGAAAAAGAGAGGGCCTTGTAAGCATGTGTTTGGGCCTAGATGTGAGAAAACTTTTGGGCCTTGAAAGAGAGTTTTTTGGGAACTGCATGGTCTACAATAATAGTTTTCATGCCGGAGATAATGAGGAAGACAATAGTTTACCAGGAGCAGTTAAGGCCATAGGAGAGATGATGGCAAAATTGGACAAGAATGGGGTCATGGATTTAGTAGAGTGGTTAGAGCTTAATGACGATAGCCGACCCGAGAACGCTAGATCCCTCAACTTTTCCGAGCTACTATTTCTTAATCTGGAAGGTGTTGAACCTCATACGGCCCACTTTCAAGACACGCATGCACCAATTCATGTCTCTTGTTATCTTGAGCCATCATGTGAACAAGGGCAGGTCGTGATCCTTCCTTCTACACCAGCAGACGGGCCGATGAGCCGGGTGGTCATGGTGACACTTCCAGAGGATGAACTGGTGAAGCTTTTGGAGGATGATCTTCTCAAGAGCCTGGGGCCTACCGTTTCAATGGGAGTGAACAAGAATAGAGCTTGACTAGTCAAGAATCAAGAGTCAGGAGTGAGCACTCCTAAGTCATCACATTAGTTCTTAGTTTTCATGCAAGTTCATGAAGTCCTCACTTGGGTCAAAACTATAAGCATGTCATTGTCTTTTCACTCTACCTGTGTAATCATTTGCATTGTGGAATAACAAGATGTGAAATGACATTAATTCCTCACTTATTGACTTCCATGGTGTGGGAAATCCCGTAAAATCGGTTAACAAGTGATTTGATTGATTTTGGGATGAGCATGATCACTAAGTTAATGGTCTTTGAAAACAATGATGATATGCATGTGAAGCACACGTGAACTCTCAGTGTGTGCTCTACACTTCAGATCTCACTTTCTTTGATGGGTGGCAATCCCAGTTCATGCACTCACCATTTTTGGATTTTAAGTGTCCTATCAAGAAAAATCCAAAAAACTTAACTGCATCTGGATTATATGAGCTGGGCTCATATGATCCGTCGAATAAAGTGGAACCCACCTAATCCAAGGATTCATGTGAGTTGAGCTCGTATGCACCGAGTGCAAGTAATAGATGCTCAATCCGATAATGATCGACTTTACACTTGAGTTTTCCTTTTCTGACTTCAGTTGTGTAATGACAGTTTAGATGGCCCCAAAACATGACATTTCCAATAAACATCATGAGCACATGAAGGCTTGTAAAGCAGATTGCCACAGTAAGATGCTTAAAGAGACAAGACAAGAAATGTCAAAAATAGGGTAACCAAACTTGTTTTGTCTCTTTAGATGGGCAATGATCCCCTAAATGAAATTCTAATGGCATACATATCAGTATCCTAATACAAATAATATGAGAAAAAAATGTACTTTTCACTTGTAACGGCGGGTTTCATTAATGCGTTTCTTATTTTAACATGTCAGTACCTACCCTCTAAGTTCTCCTATATCTTTGTCTCCCTCAGGGAGAGGAAATACGTTATGAAAGTTTAACATCCCAGTGATCCCGAGATTCGGACGAGAACTAAAATGGAATCTTCTGAGAATCTGCTCAAGTCTAACGTCATGACAGTTTAGAAATCCAATGTCATGATAGTTTAGACGACCCCAAAACATTTCCAATAAACATCATGAGCACATGAAGGCTTGTTAAGCAAATTGCCAGAGTAAGATGCCTAAAGAGACGAGACAAGAAATGCCAAAGAAGGGTAACTAAACTTGTTTTGTCACTTTTAGAAGTTAGGAGATGGGCAAAGATCCCCTAAATGAAATTCTAATGGTCATATTAGTATTTTAATACAAATAATACGTGAAAAAAATTATACTTTCCACTAGTGAGCCTCGAACTTTTTCTTGTATGATATTTCAATCTGATGGCAAGTCAAGGGAGCTAGCGAAGGCCCTTGCTCCGCTTCCCACTTGGCAATCGGTGTAATTTTTATCATAAATACATGCTGTGATTCATAAGACTTCACATGAAGATTCCCTGGTCTTTTCCCGCTTCCTCCGGGTCAAGATTTACAAATTTTCTTTTTATCTCGCCTACCCAAGTTAGATATGCGTCCATCACTGTTTCTATAGAAGATACATTCAGTCACGAGCCGCGAGACGGACAGATATCACCCGACAAAGAATATGTAATGCATATAATGAAAGAAGATGAGTAAAGCTTGAGCTTGTTTATTGGAGATCATCATGTTCCCAGCCCTCTAAGATATGCTGTTTCTAGTATACTATCAAAATACATTGACCCCAATCAGATGGGAATATTCCCAAAAAGATCAATGCGGTAGGACAAGCTGTGATGTTTTGGCAGCTAGTGCAGAGGAATCTGAATCAAACCTCTAGCAGAATGTGCTCAAATTAGGTCTAAATGCTTCCTGCTAATCAACAGTTTAAAAAAAAAAAAACGATGTTGGCCACTAAGGTCTAAAACCCTAAGGCAACATGAAAAGATAAAACCAAAATTCTGCATCAGGCGGGCGAAAGAGCCCTACAGTTTATAATATGATATTAAGCATTTGTTGATCCATTAAAAAGTACACCGAAGAAGGCGGGTATGTCCCAAATCAATCTATTTGGACAGGTTACGAAGTCATTGATAGGACCCAAAAAGACAATTATGTAATAAAAAAAAATTGAGTTAATTGGCCCTCTCTGCAAAATCAGCTGTTGTTTGACGAAAAGATTCCCAATCACGGGTGTGCCCAACATCGAAGCAAGCAAAAGAAAATCATTCGGACTTGTCAGCACATCTTGGAAGTTCAAACTTGCGAAGATTCCTCCACAAAAGTTAAAAAAGAAAAATAACACAAACGATCTCGAAACGTGATCCCAAAATTTTTAATTTATTAAATAAATTTTAGCCCAATATATAATATTGTCTTTAAATTTTTAATTTATTTAATGTGGTCCCTAAATTTTCAGTATATATTCAAACTAACCCTAGATTATATGAAAATATTCAATATTGTCTCTGAACTTAAATTAATAGAATGATAACATTGGATATCTTCATATAATCTAAGTTTTAGTTTGAATATTTATCGAAAGTTCATGGGTTATTTGAACAAATTACAAGTTTGGAGATCACGTTGGGCTAAAATTCATGAACTATATTGAGCAAATTAAAAGTTTAGGGATCACGTTACATATTGAGCCAAAGTTCAGGGACCAATTGTGTCATTATTCCAAGTTAAAAAGAGAAAGAGGTGCCTAGGGCCAAAGATTACTGGGATAATCTCTAAACAAATAAATAAATTATTAAGTACACATTCGAAACATAATCTCCTCTCTCTGAAAATTATTAATTGGGTCGACATCATTCACGAGAGAGCTTACAAATCGTGATGCACAAGTTCTCTACTCAATTAAATCGTACCGACTTCTTTTTAGATTGTTTTTTTAATCATGGAAATTATCTATCTGCCACAACACCAACTTTGTCCAGGCAATCATGTGGTTTTTCCAACGTTGACGTTGGACTTTGAATGAATTATTTTCGTCATAAACTCCGCTCAAAATGGACAGAATCAACTTGTGTTCGTTCATAGTACCAAGAAGAGAAAAAAAAAAAGAAGCAAAAATCTAGGAAGCAACAGCTCGTTACAGTTGGATGAAAGCCTTCAAAACCCTCGAAGGAATGTCACAAGATGATTTTCATCATGGTGTACGTCATCGTATTGGTTGCACTTCCAGCTCGTATTTGGTCAATGGGTTAACAGACAATTCCATCGACCATATGTCGAATTATTTAATTTGTTAAATTTGTATTAGTATCTATTGGTAAACCACCACTATTAAGAAAATACGATCCACGAAAATTTAAAAAAAATTCAGAATACCAATGGACAGAAGAAACGTCTTGGGGATGATTTTGTGGTTGATTTATTTTAACAATTATTGAAAAGCATGAGTAAAAATAAAATAAAGATGCGCTGCGTGTGAGTTGGAGACTGTCTGTATAGTGTGTATTATACACCGCCGACTATGTCAGATGCGTGTACCTTTTATAATTTTATTATAAGGTTAGAAATCATTGAGTCTAGAAGGATGGATCTTCTCCGGATCCTGTGGGATACGTACCTACGGTACTCATATATGCAGAATACATAATAATATTAAGCTAGATTTTGTGGATTTTCTAGTGAAATTAATTGAAAAAATAGACATGTGAAAATAATTGGGAAAATGACACAAATGGTTCTTGAACCTTTATTCAATATGCAACGTGACCCCTGAAATTTTAATTCGTTTGATGCGGTACATGAACTTTAATCTTATGTGCAATATCATCCATAAACTTTTAATTTGTTTAATATTATCCTTAAACATTTGGTACATATTTAAATTAGTTCTTTGATTATATGAAAATGTTCAATATTATCCATGAACTTAATTTAATGGAATGATCACATTGGATATTTTCATATAGTCTAGGGACTAGTTTGAACATTTACCAAAAGTTCAATGACCACATTGAACAAATTAAAAGTTCATGGACCACATTAAACAAATTAAAGATTCAGTGACCACATTGGATATTGACCAAACTTCAAAGACTATTTATGTTATTGTCCCAAAATAATTTGATGCAAGTTACATGATATATATAATTAGCTTCACGTGAATCCACATGTTCTTACGTGGTTGGTCTCCTTCTCCAAAGAAGAAGAGTAGATTTCAAACAAAAAAATTAAAAGCGAGAGAAATGCATCGTATATTTATTCAAGATGATTAATTCTGGATCGGGATTTAATATTAGATTCTCAATTTAAGCAATTCCAAATAATGCCACGTGTATTGCATGGAAAAGAAAGAAGAAGTTTTGCTGGTTGCTTCTACTTTCGAGATTTTTTGTGTTTTCCTCAACATTCTACTTGAAAAAATGCATAATCAAAAGAAATATTGCCCAAAAAAGTTATTGGAGCGATGAGATATGCACTCCGAAAGTTTTGCCCTCTCAAACTCATTACGACAAGACAAATAACAACAGACACGCTCAAATAGCATGGTTCCTCTTAATTTCGAGAAACTTCATATTTTCCATAAGATTTCTCTCCTTATTTCTTGTTTTGCATCCAATTGAGAAGAATTGGTTCATCTATTTCCATTTCCTATCTCTCATCAATTTTTTTTCTTTTTCCCCCCAATAATTATCATGTGTTTTTTTCATGAATCTTTTTTACAATCTCCTAGATATATTTCACTAAGGGAAAATTTCAAAAGGAGGATCGAAATGGAGAATAAGGGCCTGAAGTGGATTTTGTCTCAAATGAGGGCTTGAAGTGTCCTCATTTTCTCAAATAAGGGCATGAAGTGAATCTTATCCCAAATAAGGGTCTGAAGTGATTATATCAGTCTCAAATAAGGACTTGGCCTTACCGGCCAAAGGGTATTTTCGTCTTTTACTTTTTTGAATTTTTTTCCTTTTTATGTTTTTTCTTTTCCTTTTCTTTATTTTTTTTCCTCTCTTCCCTCCACCGGCCTCAGACGGAGGCCGCCCTTGCCGGCGTCGGGCAAGGCCAGCTCGGGCAAGGCGACCCTCATCGAATGCCAGCGAGAGTAACCCTTGCCCGCCCCGCCCAAGCGAGGCAACCCCCACCCGACTTCGGCGAGGGTTATCCTCGCTAGCCCAAGCGAGGGCGGCCCTCACCCGACACCGGCAAGGGCGGCCTCGCCTGAGATCGATGGAGGTCGCTGGCCAGGC